AAAAACTAGGGTAGCACCAGTTAAAACAATTTCCTTACCACGCCTAGAACTCTGTGGAGCGGTCCTGTTGGCAGAAACCCTGGAATCGATTTCGGATAATCTGAACTTAGCCCATCGTACAACTCAGATGTGGACGGATTCCACCATCGTGCTTGCCTGGATACGCAAGCCTCCATGCTCATGGTCGACATTTGTAGCCCATCGAGTGACCAAAATAATTGAGAAGGTGGGAGGAGAAAACTGGCGTCATGTGGACTCAACGTCAAACCCCTCAGATTTAGCCAGCAGAGGACTTACGGCGCAAGAATTAATAAACAATTCCCTGTGGTGGGAGGGCCCTTCTTGGCTTCAAGAAGACCACTCAAAATGGCCCACTCAAGGAAAGGACTATAACACAACCGTTGAAGAAAAAAGGGTACAAGTTCATATAACAACAATGGATAGTAAGACTGATATTCTTGATAGGTTTTCTGAATTTCCAAGAGCTTTGAGAGTGCTATCATACGTAATGAGATTCTCCCAAAGAACCCGTCCAAATACCAAAGCTTCATTTCAAGCGAAATCTTGTTTAATTTCAGCTGATGAAATTAAAGCAACGACCCAACGCTTAGTACTAGTTTGCCAGAAGCAGCATTATGGTGAGGAATATTCAGCATTAGTATCAGGAAAATCAGTAGGTTCTAAAAGTGAAGTATTGCCCCTTACCCCATTCATCGACAAAGACGGTATAATGAGAACAGGTGGACGGCTGGGAGCATCTCGTGATCTCGCCTACAACGAGCGTCACCCAATCATCCTGCCTTATAATTGCACCTTGTCCCGTCTCATAGTTCAGTTTATTCACAAAGTTTCCCTGCATGGTGAGAATCAGCTCATGCTGCGCTTGATCCGAACACAGTACTGGATACCTAGGGTCAAAAACTTGATTAGGTCCACAATTCATAACTGTAAGGCTTGCACGATTTATCGCAAACGCGCGCAAAAACAGTTAATGGGAATTCTTCCCAAGGAAAGAACGACATTTTCGCGAGCGTTTACAAATGCGGGAGTCGACTTCGCAGGGCCATTTGACATTAAAAGTTATAGTGGCCGAGGTTGTCGCATGTCAAAAGGATATGTCTGCCTATTTGTATGCTTCGCAACAAAGGCAATCCATTTGGAAGCCACTTCGGACTTGAGCACTCAGTCGTTTTTAGCAGCATTTGCCAGGTTCATCGCACGACGAGGCTGTCCAAAAAATATCTATTCCGACAACGGCACCAATTTTGTGGGAGCTTCTAGAGCTCTGAGAGCCGAAACAAAAGCCTTTTTAAAAGACGCCCGCGATAACACTTTGGCGAAATACGCTCACCAAATGCTTTCGTGGCACTTCATTCCCGCTTCAGCTCCCCACATGGGCGGACTGTGGGAAGCGGGAGTTAAAAGTTTTAAAAGCCACTTTACGAAAATTGCTTCCCAACACAAATACACGTTTGAGGAATTTACAACCCTATTATGCAGAGTTGAATCCTGTCTCAACTCTCGACCCCTGAGTCCCTCATCAAATCAACCAGGAGACCTGGAGCCACTGACTCCAGGCCACTTCTTAATCGGTGGACACATACTAGCTCCACCAGAAATAGACGCTGATGAAAATCGTGCCTCGATTGTAAATCGATGGCAGAGGCTCAAGGCTCTACACCACACGTTTTGCAAACGGTGGAAAAGTGAATATCTCACGGAATTGCAGAAACGCAACAAATGGAGATATCCGCAAGCCAATATGAAAATTGGAGACCTCGTGATCATCAGAGAAGATAACCTGCCGCCAAACGAATGGAGACTCGGAAGGGTAGTTAACGTCCATCTAGGTGCAGACAATAGGGCAAGAGTAGTGGACCTCATGACTGAAAGAGGACAGGTTACTAGACCTGTAGTCAAGCTGGTTCTACTACCCCCCTGTGATCAACAACACAGCGAATCGCAACCAAGTAACGACTCCATTTCGTAAAAGCCTAACTTAGTCCACAACCACAATTCGCAACATAATACAGTCCACTTTATCATACGAATATAAATCATTACTGCGAGATGCTCAACAAACTATATGAATCGATTTCGTTTTGTTGATGCGCAAAAATAACTTATCAAAATAATTTCGTTTCTTTTCGTTAAAAACAAGAATAGAATTATTTTGATAATTACCTAAATGATAAGAAACTGAATTGTTTCAACAGAAACGATTGGCTTATTTTGGTAAACGCTATAATTAACGTTACAATGCATACGTGCTTTTGATATGTATACACATACACACGTACCCCAGGAAATCATTATAAACGAATGGAGTTTGCGCGAACATAATATACTACGTCCACCAAATTCAAAAAATATTCAAGATTCCTTTAATTTTATTTAAAGTATATCTTATTAGAAGCTTTCGGATAAAAAGGTTGGGAGGAGCGGTAAGTTGCCTACATGTTTTTATTCCTTCTAACCTTGCGGAATTAATACAATTGTGTCGCAATCTTTATATCGAAGAATTGCCTACATAATATGTATATGGGCTGCATGAATTCATTCAAACTTCAAGCCAAACAGAGTACAGTACATTTGAATATTTTACTTCACTTACAAAATACTCAGCGTTTGGAATTTTGTAAGTTATGAATATACATTTTGTTTTAAATTGTCTACCTTTAAATGGAAGAATGTGACTGAATGAATGGAAAACATTTAAATCATTCAAACTCATTTCGGCACACAAGTTTTCTCGTATGTAATAGGAGCGCAGCAATACATACATACATACATATGTATGTTTGTACATATGTACGAAGAAAAAATATTTCTGGATATTCATACAAAGAGTTGACATTTATATCAATTCAATTTATTTTCACTTTGTCGACACATATATCTGAACAGCTGTTCACTCAAATTTAAAAAAAAAAAAAAAAATTAAAATTTTAAGCTAAAATTATTCATCCGTTTTGTGTATGAATAATTCATATGCCGTTTGAGTGCATTCATGCAGCGCTCTCCTACATATCACCGCAAGGGGTGGTTATGGACTTTCGTCATTACGCCCGATTTACATGATTCAGATACTTTGTGTTTTCTATTTGCTTTTACACGTTTCAATTCTGTTGAATTCAAGTTTGGTTCGTTAAATGGGAAGCAACGAAAATGCCAAAAGCAAAGCAAGAAAGTTTAAACGACTTGACGGTACAGACGCATGTGTACTCGTCCCTTTTGTTCTCACCCCCTCTCTTCCACATGCGAGCAGAATGGAATTCAATACTTGAACTGTGTAAAAGCAGTATAATAATAAAAAGGTTATAGTACTCACAATATTCCGGGAAAAATTACCAGACAAATTACCAACGGCGCTGGCAAAGAATTCACTTTCCTTGGCGTTGTTCATAACCCTCGTTGTTGCAGAACTTAAACCCTTTTGTTTTGATGTAAACTGTATGTCATAATCTGTTCGCATGTATGTCATAATCTGTGCGATACAGATCCTGCAAGACTTCAAATTCGCACAATCGATACAGAAGTTTTGGCCAAATGCATGTGATTTGTCGTGCGCAAACACTTTTTAGCTAAATCCAGCATCATCTGAAATGGAAACGAAAAGATATTAGTGAGATAATAGGTTACATAAAAGATTCATATTATATTAATTCATATTTCACGATACTTCAATAATGGTTGGCTTTTTCCGAGTTCACGATTTTCCACTAAATCACTATGAGGGTTTTGGGTGGGATATCTGCAAAATGCCCGATTTAGGGCAAACACCTCAATGGCTGGCCCCTTTTCAACACCTTCATACACAGACGTAGACATGATATATTCAGTTAGGTAATAGCTTCTTACGATGTTCGCTAGAAAACCAACCGCACGACAGTATTGTTCAAGTAGACGGAAAATATAGCAGAGAACAGCAGAACGTGAAAGTGGATGTATGCCTCGCGTTCTGAAAATCGTTAGGTGATTCAAGCGCACAGCGTTTTTTTGTCAAAATTCTTTGGATGTTTCTTTCGCTTTGGATTTTGGTGTTTTGCCGGCTATTCCAAATGAGTTTGTTCGCTTAATGACGTTACACTATTGGTGGGGGCAAATAGGTAAATATTTATACTTACTGCATACACGTACACGATAAGGAAATTAAATGAGACGATTGATCCAACCGGGATTGCTATTTTATTTCCATGTAACGTGGAAAACGCGTTTAAAAGCTATCCATTCGGCATACCATAATTCCTCATTCATCCTTCAGGCGAACTCGATTGCGAGTTGTAAATATGCCGTACTCGGATGAATGAGGGTTTTGGGTGGAATATCTCCAAAGAAAGCTAAAAGTAGAAGGTAAAAAATATCACATTAAAATATTATGAGAAAAATACGCAACTTACCGCATCATAATTACTCGTGCCATTCAGGAAATTGTGATATGTGCTGCAATTGCCCTCAATGAAAGTGTCATTTTTAAAAAATAGTGATGTGCAGAGTTGCCCCAATACTCGGTACCCAAAGTTTCGGTATTGGTAACCGATACCGATTCAATGCAATATACCTTAGTAGTAATATAAGTACACTTAAATCACCTGTCGCACAATTTCGGATCCATTTTGTTTTTTTCCAGAAGAATAATAAAGGTTCACATAAAAATGAAGCGTTCTCTGAAATTTCGACAACGAATGACTTTCAGTTATTTAATTTTTGTTCTGTACCCCCTGAAGGCGCTGTGGACTCAGTACTCACAAAGAATTCCGTACATAGCCCCTTAAAAAAAAAAAAAAAAAAAAAATAAAAATAATAATAATATATATATATATATATATATATATATGTATACATATTCATTTATTTATTCCAATTGGAATTTGTAAGACATCGCCTCAGAGTTCGCTAATGAGCTTTATCTCTAAAAATTGCGTCCATACGTTTGGCTGTCGTGCGCTTTTGTTAGAAGTTGTTTAATAGTCCGACACCGAGTGTCGGAAGTATTGGATACTTTTAAATAGGTACCGAGTAGGTATGAGTACTCATATGTGTGGACTCAGCACATCTCTAATACAAGAACGTAAATTTCAATTTACGCTCTTGGTTGACAGCGCAGCCAGGGTTCGGACTCCCCTACGATCGGTAAACTGAAAATCTACTACGCAACTCGATACCGGCGAACTACTTAGATTTGTTCGGGACAAAGCAAAGCGTATTAAATGTGCTTTTCTTTTTTAATAAAATCATGAGTTATTAAATTTTGAAGGGCCCTCCAACTTAGTAATTTTCAAATAAAGTATTAAGTTGTGATACTCCCAAGCACATATATAAACACCGGTGTACGAAAATAAACTATAATGCACATTACTCTTTCATTTCGTTTATTCCTTCAAGAGTTCGTTGCAATACGAAAACAAAACGGCTGAGTTTACTTTGCGATAGTACACTACAGTAGTTTAGTAGTTACAGACGAAACAACAAACGAAATGAATTGTGCAGAGAAAAAGATATGTATGTATGTAGTACATGTCTTTGAATTAAATTGAATATGAAAATTTACGAAAAAAGAAATATATTTTTTTTTCACGTAATCGAAACGTTTACATACATATAAAACGTATGG